TCAAGTGTTGCTCCACTGAGAATACTGGTGTGCTCCCCCTTCTAAAGTGCACTAAGTGTGGCAGATCTCTTCCATATAGCACCTAAATAGGGGTCATCTGAGAAGCTGAATGTTACGAGGTATTGTACCAATACTCAGCACATGCCAACCATTTGGCCCACATCTTTGGTGTTTCATAAGCAAAACACCTCAAGTAAGTCTCCAAACTTCAGTTGACTACCTTATTTTGCCCGTTCATTTGGGGATAGTAGGTGGTGTTTCTCTTGAGAAAAGTTCCTTGTAACTTGAACAGTTCCCTCCAAAACTAGCTGAGAAAAACCTTGTCTCGATCAAACACTATCGACTCTGGAATCCCATGTAGTCTAACCACCTCCCTGATGAAAGTTATCGCCATATCACTGTGGTTTAGGGGTGTCATATGGGGGTGAAGTGTGCATACTTACTCAGCCTATCAACCACCACCATAATAACATTGAACCCCTCTGATCGTGGTAGGACATCAACGAAATCCATAGAAAATTCCTTCCATACTCTGTTTGGAAGTGACCAAGGGTTGTAGTACCCCCCCCCCCTAGCCATATACTTGTTTCTCTGACATATTTCACACCTCGCCATCATCTCCTGCACATCCTTTTGCATTCATTTCAAGTACAATTCAACAGTAAGTCTCTTGTATGTCTTTTTTACTCCAGAATGGCCTCCAAGGGTACTCCCATGAAACTTCTACAATAGATGGGGAATATGAATGAAATTTCGTGGCATCACAAACCTTCTATGGTACAACAGTCTCTCCCCCTAGAGGGCGTAGCCTAGGTGACTGCTCCTATCCTTTAGTAGATCCATTCGGATCTTCTTCAACTCTTCATCCTGCACATTTTCTTCTTGGATCCCCCCCCCCCAATCTACCATCAGGGGTACTGAAATGATTATCTCCTGGAGCTCTCCCCCACACCTGGATAAGGCATCAGCCGCCTTATTCTCCAACCCTGGTCAGTATTAGATCTCAAAATCATATCCCAATAGTTTATACAACCACCTCTGATGTTCCTCCGCCATCATCCTTTGCTCGAACAAGTATTTTAAGCTCCTTTGATCTATCCCGATGATGAAATGTCGTCCCAGCATGTATGGTCACCACTTCTGAATAGCCAACACGATTATCATTGATTCCCATTTATATACAGACTTCAGTCTTGCTCTAGCTTCCAACACTTGAATAAAGTAGGCTATGGGTCTATGTTGCTACATCAGCACTGCTCCTAACCCATATCCAGATGCATCTGTCTCCACCACAAAAATCTGACTGAAGTATGTTAGAGCCAAAACGAGTACCGTGGCCATTGCCTTCTTAAGTTTCTCAATAACCTGAGTAGCCGCTTCTCCCCACAAGAAGCTATCATTCTTTAACTACTCTGTCAAGGGCAAGACTACGTTGTTGTACACCTTCACAAATCTCCAATAGTAACGCGTCAGTCCCGGGAATCCCCTCAACGCTCTCAAGTTCCTAGGTAGAGGCCACTTCTGCATGGCTTCAATCTTAGTTGGATCTGCTGCCACCCCCTCTTGAGATACAACATATCCCAAATACTCCACACTAATCTGTGCGAAGCTACATTTCTTTAGGTTGGCCCTGAGCTAATGCTCCTGTAGCACTTCAAAGACCACCCTTAAATGCTCCTAGTGCTCCTCTTCGATTCTACTATACATCAGTATGTCATCAAAGAAAACTAGGACAAACCTCCGTATCTACGGCCTGAAAAACCCTATTCATCAATGACTAGAAAGTGGCAGGGGCATTTGTGAGCCCAAATGGCATCACGAAGAACTCATAGTACCCCTCATGCATCCTGAATGCCATCTTCTGAATATCCACCTCTTTCATCCTGATTTGGTGGTAGCCCGACTTTAAATCCATCTTAGAAAACACTACTGCTCCATACAACTCATCCAATAGTTCATCGATCACCGGAATGGGAAACTTATTCGGCACAGTCTCCTTATTCAATGTCTTGTAATCCACACAGAATCTCCAGCTCATATCTTTCTTCTTGACCAGTAAGACTGGACTTGAAAAAGAACTCACACTTGGTCTGATAATATCTGCTTCCAACATCTCCCTAATTAGCTTCTCAATCTCGTCCGTCTGAATTTAGGAGTGGCGGTCGGGCCACACACTAATTGGTGACACCCCCTCCTTTAAAATGATTGCATGCTCCTACTCTCTGTGTGGTGGTAAGCCTTGAGGTGGTTGGAACACCTCACTGAACTGCTGTATGAGTGGTTGTACTTCCATGGGAATGTCTCCCTCTTCCCCCACACTGACCCTCTCTAAAAGTTGTAATTCCACCAAATATCAACCTCCCACCTCCTATATGGTTCTGATCATGGATTTGATAGATACTCTGGCCTTGGACATCCCTGCATCGCCCTGAATCACCATCCGCTTTCCTCTTATCATCAATTCCATCCTCAGAGCACCTAATTGACCTTGCTCTCCCCCAAGGTCTGCAGTCATTTCATCCCCAGGATGACAACGGTACTCCCTAAATCCAAAAGAAGAAAGTCTTCTCTCACCTGGATCCCCTGAATCCTCAGCACTACTCCTCTACCCATTTTCACCTTTCTCGTGCCCGTCATTACCTCATAGCCTCCTGTATCCACTAATTTCACCCCCAACAGGTCAATAATCTGAGTGGAGATGAAATTATGGGTTGCCCCACTATCTATCAACACTATCACATCTCTATCAGCTATCTCTCCTTTTACTTTTATAGTGCGATTCGGAGTGAATCCCACCAAGGAGTTTAGGGAGACTTCTAACACATCCAGTTTCAGCTTCTCCTCATCCTCCATCTCTAACCCACTTCCACCTCTCTTCAGCTTCATCGTCATCACAGATGGTGAGAACCTGAAGAGTTCGGTCCTACACCTATGCCCTGCCATGTACTTCTCATCACATCTAAAACACAACCCATTTTCCCTCTTATCCTATATCTCTTTCTCAGTCAGCCTTTTGAAATTTCTTCCATTTCCCCCCTCCTCCGGCTCTCTCCTTAGGCACTTCCCTCACCCCTCCTGGTGTAAGTCCCTTGGGAGCTAAGAAACTAGTGGTCATATTGTATGACCCCCCTGAGTTGCTCCCCCTAACCCCCCTCTCCAAATGCTTCTGGTCCTCCACCAGTTGTGTTAGCTCCATGGCCTCTCCTAGGTTTCGTGGCCTCATAATCCTAATTGTTGCCCGGATCTCTGCTTTCATCCCCTTCATAAAGTTTCTTCTAGCACTGTCTATGAGAGCCGATCAAGTCTACTGGCCAGATACTCAAACCTATAACAAAAATCTACCATGGTCTCCTTCTGTATGAGAACAAAGAATTGTTCATAGAAGTCTCCTCCTCTACCGGTTCGGAAACATTCTAGTAAGCACTCTTTGAACTCCCTCCATCTTTGGAGGAATTGCCTCATGTCATGTCATTAATATCATGCCAGTGTCTTCCCCTCAAAACATAGTCTTACAGCTGTCATCTTCTCTTCATTCGTCAATCTGTTGATGGCGAAATATTGTTTCACCTTGTAGATCTATCTATGGCCATCCTTGCACTCAAAGATGGGCATTTTCAGCTTCCTCACCATCGAGTCACCCCCGTAGCCTCTGAATCCTCCATAACCTCCCATTCCTCGAAGAGGAGGTGCTCCCCAGTGGTCATGATCTTCCCTCTGACGATCATACACAATCCCTTCATCAAATTCCTCTCCTTTTAACTTCAGCACCTCGGCGGTAGAAATCTCCCATTCTCCCAACGAATTCAGCACCCTGCATTTCATAGCCCAAACTCATCCCCTCCTTAGAAAATGATTATAGAGGAGGCATTCCATCATCTCCCTCAAGGATCTCCACTTATGGATTCTCCCTCCCCCTCAACGGGTTCGAATTTCCTCCACTGGCATGGCCGCTGGTGGTCTCCCTTGCTTTTGATGTCGCCGGATTTTGTTTTTCATCAAGTATCTTTTTCATCATGTCCTCCAAGGTGGCGAACCTTCCATCCATCTTTTTATGGATAGAAGCAAATTGATTCTGAAAATCAGGTGTTTTTTCCTCAAAATATGTCTTTAGTTGACCAATTTCTCCCTCCAATACTTCAACTTTTCTTCCAACCATTGATATCCCTTAGATTGACGTGCTCTAATACCAATTTGTTAGAAAATACTTGAGTTCGCAAGTAACCCTAAGGGAAATAATTGAGTTCGCAAGCAAACCTAACCACAATTGGTGAAAACAGTTAGTAAAATTGATGTTTACAGCAGAAAAACAACAAAATATAGCAAGTTTTTTGGAAAAAATAGAGGAAAACTGATAGAAAATGAAGTATTCCGCTAGTAGTTGCAAGAAAACAACAAGCAATACAAATTTCTTCAATTCGAGAGGAAGAAATATCTCTACAAATCTCTGGCCAAGCCTAGAGCCCAAAAGAAAACCCTAGATCCCAAATCTGATTTCAAATTCAAGATAAACTTCAAACCCTAACAAGAAATACTAATTAAAGCAAAAGGAAAATTAATTAATCCCTAAATAGCCCCTCATTCAAATTTTCCCTCCCAAACCTTGTTTAATTTAGGTCATGGGGCCCACCATTGCTGCCGCCCCTCTCTCTTGTCTGCCTCCCCCTTAGGACCGGCAGGCATAGACATGAACCGGTCTAGGTCTAACAGATTGCTCCCTAAAAGACAATCAACATATTTAAGATTCACCACTGTTATACAATAATTCTAGCTCTTAATTTGCCATATTATATTAGAAACTTCAATTGCCCTTACCTCTGTTAGGTGTGCATAAAGGTCAGCATCATAATCACATTATGATAACAGGTACGAAGTTAGCATTCAATAGAAGGAGCCTCAAAGTCATCAATGGCGGCCCCAAATTATCATCGCTCAGCTAATAAACCTCCAATCAATTGGGATGCCGACGACGACGACAACAAAAACTAGTAAGTTCAACTATGTAATCAAGTAATAGTGATCAATATATTTTATTAAGCATATTTTGTTATTCAATACAAGTGACAATAACAATAGAAAACTATATTTAAATCATTGAATGAGGCCTTACAAATTAAAGCACAGAGGGAATCAGCCAGAAGAAAACTTGAATGAAAATTGGAGCTTCTCCTTCCTCTCCTTGTCCAGGTCATACTCATCAGACATTTGCAAACAGCTTATAGTTCTTCGCATCCAACAGTATCTGCCTCACGGCTGCAATAGATGCCAAAACCGCAAATACAGAGAAAACCACAGCTATCACAACATTAGCCCAGAAAACAGCCCCTCTCATCGACGGCCGGAAAGTGATGTTATAGAGCACTGCCGGCACTACAAAGTCAAGAGGTAAGAATCCGAAGGCTCCGATCACTGCATTAATGTCACCGAAAAAGGGAAGCATCGCTGCGATCGCTGTCGCCATCCCCACTGAAATCGACCGGAAAACTATTCTCGGAAACACATTACGAACCGAGTACTGACCCTTGTGCGGATCGGCAAAAATCCCTTCTAGCAATTCGTTCGTTGGCTGCAAGTATACCTACAACAACAAAACAAGTAGATATATAAGTTGGATCTAATAGCTCTAAATGAATTGATCTGATTTGATTTTTACTTACAACTGCAACGGCGGAGAGTTGGAGGATTGTGAAGATGTTAGCCATCAGGAGGAACCATTTAGGCACTAAAGGTCTTCCATTTCCGGAGATGAAGTTGGAGAGGATTGTACCCTTGGCTAGGTTTCCGAACACCCAGTAGCCGGAGACAGCAACGCTGAAGAAGGTCGCCACCGCCACCGCGTAGCAGAGACAAAGCCCCTTGAACATTTTGCCTTGCACCGGCGGAGCGACTGTTGCCTGTAGTTTGACATTTTCACAATGCATCGTAGCTCTCGTTGTCACGAGTTTAACAAAGTTAGCAGATCGGAAAGCGGATGATGATGAGATCATCCATAACACTTTTTTTATTGTTATCAGAAGGTGATGATTGAGTAAATATGATAATTATGTAATTTATCTTAATTAAATTTAATTAAGAATTCCTTTACAAAAAAACTTACTTGAATTTCTGGAATAATTCCATTTCCGTAACTCGTGGCAATAATAGCAATTGCATTGAATACACCAAATACTAGGTCTTGTTCATCACTAGGAAGAGAGTAATCCCTATGCGGGGCATCAGAAGACTGTCCTGCATATTATTTTTAATTCTTCCATAAATACAAAATTTTATTTGAAATATCCAATCATGTTAGCTTAATATTAATATTTTAAATATTATTAATTGTAGCATATATATACTTATAACTAGGGCGTCAAATGAACTGAACCGAATCGAGTATGTGAGTGTTCATGTTTGAGTTCTTTTATTATTAGCTTGTTCAAGTTTGGTTCGTGTTTAACTTTATTGTTTGTGTTCATATTTGATTCGTTTAAATTAATAATATTCAAGTTTGGTTTATGTTCAGTTCATGTTCGATTTATTTAATGCTTATCGAGCTTTAAACAAATAAGCCTTAATGATCTCTGTTCTTGAGCATATTTAACGAATTTTTTTAAATTATCAGACAAGCTTGTTCATGAACAAATCTAAAGAGTATTCTTAAGCCATCAAATGAACAATATCTGACGATGTAATATGATAAATTAGCAATTGTAAGGAAATTAAAACTACAACATATATTATAATATATAATTACTTTGGAATTTATCAATTAAAAATAATTATATCACGATGTTACAATAAATTAAAATATTTATATTATGTATATTTATCAATTATTCGAGTTTTTATCGAGCTTATTCACGAGTTCTGAATCAAACAGGAATCGAGCTTAATGTCGAGCTTGTTCACTAGATTCAAATAATGTTGTTCGTAAACATAAATGAACTGAACACATCAATGTTAAAGCTTGTTTATTTAAGGATCGAGTATTAAAAATGTTGTTCAAATTTGTTTGTTTAATTAGTTAAACAATCACAAACGGGCTTTAATCAAACCGAGCAACGAGTAACTCGTCGAACGTTTGGTTCGCTTGCAGCCCTATCTATTTTGAAAGAAATTAATAATGATGAGGATAAAATCTTGTATTTTTTTTTTAAATTAATAAATATTGAGGATATTTGACTAATTATAAATACTAGTGGACATATAAAGACAAATTTTTATATATATAATGACGCCGGAGCTGAGCCATTAATTATTTAACTTCATGATACTTTAATCCATTTGGTAGTTTATATGGTTACATAGGATTAGTGTTTACCTATGTTGTGTGTAGCCTAGTAGGTTGCTATGGTTTGTCTATAAATACACATCCATTAAGTGTAATGAGGCAGATTTTAGAGAATAAAGAAAATGAAGGCTTTTGTCTTTTTGCTTTTGATTCCTGTATCCTAAGATTTAATCTTAGATGGTGGATTCTTGCTCCAAGAAGGAGTTCTTGGAGTGGTGTCCGGCGACCGTCACCGGATCATCGACGTGGATTCGTCAAGCCCCATCCGGTCCGGTGTCATTTGGTATCAAAGCATCACGATCTTTTTCCTGAAGGTCCACTTCCTAGAATAGAGAGAGTTGTTTCAAACAATAGGCGTCCCCTCAGATCATGTTCGCATGACATTAGCCATTCCATCCAAGGTGGACTTCAAGACAACAGCTTCAAGAACACATCAGGTATCAATAAGAGTGGACAAGAGAGAGGCAAAGCTTCATCCTGCCTTTGCGCATGAACCTTGCCAGGGAACGTTGGGATTGATCTCTGTTATTGGGAGAGGTGCCATTTCGTGGGCAACGTCAGCACCTGCATGTGAAGGCAAGAACGCGGAAGTTGTCCGCGAGCTGAAGCAGGCCGAAGGCAGCAAGATCACCGCATACGGGGCCGATCGGGTCGGGTGATTCGACGAAGCACCTGGGCGACGACAAAGAAGGCTTCAGACGGGGCTTGGTCGACGTGGCTCCGGGAAGAATAACCGACAGATGGTTCTTGATCAGGCGCGGTTGAGCAGAAGCATGTTGCCCGCAAATTGGTGTTGTGTGGGTCAAAGCAACAAGACGAGAAAGAAGTACTCAACGATTTCCCTTCTTCAATGTTTTGACATTACCGCCCTCCCTGCTGAGATCTCGCATTCAGATCATCTCTGTATACTCCTCGATTGTGCAGTCGTTGATTACACCAGCCAAGCAAGCGAACTTGCTCTCTTGAATAGATTCTTGAAGATTAGAAACAAGATGCTCCACCTGGGACGATCGGCCTAGCATTCTTAGGTGGTGGTTCTTGCTCCAAGAAGGAGTTCTTGGAGTGGTGTCCGGCGATCGCCACTGGATCGTCGACATGGATTTATCGAGCCCCCTCCGGTCCGGTGTCATTTGGTATCAGAGCCGGCAAGATGCTGGCGTTCCCATGAGGGAAATAACATCCTCTTATTGCGTCCTATCTCTTCCTTGAAGCAGTTCTTTCTCTTTTGCAACAACATTTTGTGGAAATCAAAGCAGATGTTGTTAATTCGGTGAAGGAAAACAAGATATCAGCCTGTTGTTGAGCTGATTACAACCTTCCAAATTGGCATATTCGTCTCTTCCAAGCTGTTAGGCCGATCATCCCAGGTGGAGCATCTTCCGGCCCAGGCTTCTCCAATCATATCTTAGTCTGACCAATCTTGCGCCCCACAACCAGCCGTCTTCACGTTCAACTCCAACCCGTGAGTTGTCGTGCTAATCCTATAGTGCAGGAACAAGACTCCTGCTGCCAAACTGTTGTCTAACCTGCTGAGGGCTACAAGGCGCCTATCTTCAGCAAGTAGTTGTATGAATCTTGTACCCTTCTACATACAAAGGCATTACACAATATTGATGATTCTTGCTGGAGTTGTTTCCGTCTAGAAGAAGTTTTCTTGCCCGAAGATCAAGCGGTATCAAGAAGCCTCAAAGAAGACATTCTGTGCAAGCCAAGAATAGTCTAGCAAAATGTCATCTCGCTGGAATCTTCAACGACCACTTCAAGAAGCTGAAATTGAAGATCTTCTGAAAGAAATGGCACGACTCAAACTACGATTGTCAAGAATATAACGAAGCAAAAATTTGAGCCCCCTTTCCCCAGACTTTAATGGCGTCCATGGCAAGTATGCTGCCACGAAGAATTCAAGATCTATCGTTTCAACAAAATCCTTAAGAACCGAAGACGGTGATGATATCATTTCAGATAATAAGATCTCTTCCACGCCACCCTTGATCGAGTTCAGCTTCAAAGAATTTGAAAATCCGTTGTCGAAATTGTCGTATTTGCCTCTCTACGATGAGCTTGTGTACAACATGTAAGATGATGACATGTTCGATGGAGTTCTTGATCTTGATCAACCCATATATGATAATGACGAGAGCAAGGTGGATGCACCGTTGGAGTTAGTCATTCATATTAGTCCTGATAAAACAACAAATACACTCAACGTCATTGATAGCGAAATTAGTATGACCAAACTTGACCACGAAAACTACCTTGGTACCATTACACATTTCGAAACCAAATTATTGGAGGCAATCTCTGTGGATACCGATATGTGCATAGTTGATCCATTTTATGTCCAATTCAATTCAACTCGTGAAGAGTGTTGTTTGGATGAGCTACTAAAGATGCCAAATAAGTTTGTTAGCTATCTCGTTTGTTATCGACTCCAGCTTATATGTAAGTCTCTCCAAGACAGAGCGAATGACACCGGGTGGAATTATCCAAACCGGTTTAGCCAACCAAACCCGCCTCCTTATTGTGGCCAACCGGATCTCATTCTATGAGCTCGAAGTTCCCTTCTACTCCGGTAGAATGACACAGGAGCGTCCATATAAATAAATTGTATTTTCTTATTAGTAATTGGTGTAGCTCTATCTCTTGTGTAGCCTATTATGTGGCTACTTGAAGTCTATAAATATAGGCGAGTGTCTTGTATTAGGGGAGATTTTGGAGATTAATAAAATTAGAGTTTTACTCTTGTGAATTTCTGTATCCAAATATTATTCTTAGGTGGTGGTTCTTGCTCCAAGAAGGAGTTCTTGGAGTGGTGTCCGGCGACCGCCACCGGATCGTCGACGTGGATTCGTCGAGCCCCCTCCGGTCCAATGTCATATAACTAAAATATTAAAAATATTTAATATATTAAAACGTAGCTATGCATAAGTAACAACTCACCAATATAGACAGATCCTGCAGTAGCACAAGCACTATAGGATAAGCAAAGGAAGAGAGAAATTAGATTAATGTGCCTAAGAGAATGAAATGATGGGAGCTGCGCCAAAATTAGCATAAAGGCCCCAAATATTGCCACAAATTCGTAGAGCTTTATTGTTCCATCGGGTTTCTCGATCAAGTATATAGACTGCAAAAACAAAAGTTAAACAATATTAATCAATCATTTAATGTCTTTAATTTATGTATGTTAACATTCTCTAATAAAATGAACTAATAAATTCATATATATATATATATATAGTCCTAAGAGATGTAGCCACTCTTTTGCTTTTTATCATGTCAATTTGTATCGACCTAAATTAAAAAACTACATACATAAGACAGTATATTTATGAATCCAGCACCAATTTGTTGAAAATTCAATGGAAATAAAAATTATGAGTTGCTATTTTATTGCATTCTTTGAGATATGGGTGATGTTGCATAATAAAATATTCATGATAGAAGGATAATTTAATATTTTAGTTTTGTACAAAAAATTCATCACATATATATAGATAAAAGACTACTGTAAGAGATAGAACTTTTGTGAGAAAAATCATGAGACGGCCTAATTTAAATAATTTCATATATGTACATCGTTAGTTACAAATGATTTCATCTTCGATAATTGCAAAAGGTGTAAATACAATGTAGTGCACATGAGCTATGAAGAATGTATTCTAGGGATGGAAGTTGTAAGTGCATTAAGGCATTAAAATTATATTCAAGAGATTGTTTGTGATTTATTTGAGGAGAAGATATTGGAGTCCAAGAAGTCCAGCATAAATATAATTTTGATGCCAAGAGTTGGAACTAGTGTAGACAACATGCATCAACTTTATTCGTGATGACGTTCAATGAAGTTCTGAGTAATGATAAGCATAATATCAGCGGACATCAATCTTGATGTTGGTGGCATGCATCAACCTTATAAGTGTTGATGTGCATTAGTCTTATAAGCGATGACTTACATAACCTTTGTGCATCAACCATATAGGCGATGATATGAATCAATATTATTGACAACAACTTGCATTAAAATTTGTATCTATCAACATTGGTTACAATGATATGCATAAGTCTTATAAGTGATGACATGTGTTGACGTTGTTTGTGATGAAGTCCTTACAAAATAGTAGTCAAGTGACGATGGCCGGATGTTGTCAAGCGACTCTAGTCATAATATTTTAGTTGAGTAACATTAATTGAGTGAATGCAGTAAAAAATTTGCAGTTAGATGATAATGATCAGACAACAATAGTCTTTAGATATTTATAGATAATCCATACTTTCAACAACAATAAATTTCTATTATTTTTTAAGGAACTCATGCATCCTTAGACTTTAGTCTTTAGAGATTTATAGAGAATCTACACTTTCAAAGCTTTAGTGTTCAAGATTTTTTTGAAAACCTATATATTATAAAGTCTTAGCCTTTTGAAATTTTTTCGATAACATATACCTTCTAAGGTTTTAACTTTTTGAGATGTTTTAAAGAATATATACCTTATTAGATTTTATCCCTTTGAGATTTTTTAAGAACCCATATATTTTGAGACTTTAACTTTTTAGATTTTTTGAAGAATCCATACCTTCAAAGGTTTTAATTTTCTGAGATTTTTTTTAAGAACATGTACCTTGTGAAGTTTTAGCCTTTTATGATTTCTTAAACAAATCATACCCTTAAAGATTTTACTCTTCTAAGATTTTTTAGAGAACATATACATTAAGCTTTAGCTTTGTAAGTTTTTTGAAAAACTCATCTTCTAAGGCTTTAGCCTTATAAAATCTTTGGAGAATATGTACATTCAAAAGCTTTAACCTTCTGAAGTTTTTCAAAGAATATGTGCCATATGAGACTTTAGCCTTTTGAAATTTTACAAAATTTATGCCTTCTGAGGATTTAGATTTTTAAGATCTTTTTTATGAATTAAGACTCTATCAACCACTTACTCTTAAAAAGACTTTCTAGTGAGAATCACATTCGCTACTAGCTTCCATCAATGTTTTCTTATAGCATGCATTCTAGGATTTAAAGTAGAGACTCTATCTATCATTTGCCCATATGACGACTTTAAAAAAAATTAATTGTATTAATAAAAAGAGAACTTTTTTAAAAATAGTATAATTTTATTTATCTCCCAAAGATAGATACTACATTTTAATTCTTTTGTATGATATGTTGGATATGTAAGATAATTTGGAATATAATGCAAGACAATTATATCAATTAGAACAAAGACTCCTGAAAACAATAGTGAATAGTAAGATGATTCCTATATCTTAAAAGGAAAGCCTCCTGAATAAGGTATCAAAATTTATCTCTTGTGACATTAAAAGGAGTATCAAAATTTATCTCATGAAAACAATAGTGAATAATGTGTGTTAATTTAAATCTACCAAGGCTATCATTACAGGAAAACCTAGGTATACCAGCGAAAGTATAGCTGCTAGTAGAAGCAGCGATGTAACCAACAGTTATTCCGCCAGTAACTTAGCGGGGATTTTCCATCGAAAAACTTGCTGGCAAATCTTTTTAAAATTGGCGATAACTTCGGGCTGAAAATGCACCAGAAATTACTGACGGGACATCCTATGGAAAATCTATCAGCTTACTTAAACCCGACAAAATATTTTCATGGAAATGCCTCCGAAAACATTTTTGGCACAAAATCCACCCGAATTACCATTAGTAAAAGCCCTATTTTCCTTATGCAGTTGTCTTCCTTCTTCTCATTTCACTCCTGATCATTTTGCTTTGCTCCTGGTCGCGTGATTACCTCACACCGAATGTTGCCTCCATCGCTTTTTGTGTACATTGCTCTGTCGCCATTGTTTGTTGCCTCAGTTGCCGAACCTCCATAATTTGATCTATGTTACCCCAATTCTATTTGCTTTGGTCATGGTTTTTCTAGGTAGACATTCGGAAGAGATTGTACCATCATGTATGCATTTTGTTAATGGCATTCTTCTTGTTGATAAGACTAAAGAGGGAGTTGATGGTGAAATAAATGTAGAATCTATTAGTAGAATTTAAGTTGGATGGTTAAAGTGGAGGACTGCATTGTTCTTATTGTGTTATAAAAATTTCTTCTCAAACTTTATGGAAAATTCTATAAGATGTGGTGAGACATGCAATGCTTTATGGTGTAAAATGTTGGTCATTAAAAGAGAAGCATAACATTTAGTTGTGTTTGAAGAGATGAGAATGTGCATGAGTGGCTTTACTCTTAGAGACAAGATACGAAATGAGCATATACATGAAAAGGTTGAAGAAGCATATACCCGATGACCTAGTTAGGAGATTAGAGGTATTATATTTGGCTTATGTTAAGAAAGGTAGAGGTAGACCTAAAAATACTTGAAAATATCTCTACATTTTTATACAAGTGCCCCTTTAAAGATCTATGCACACCTTTCTTGGTGTGATAGGACTGAAGACTATGACCACGATGTTAGCCAACACCGACCATGCACATTTTTCATGACGTGGAATGCAAGTTAATACTCCTTAAATTTCCCCTAAATAAAAGAGGCACCGAGAGACTGCCAAATGTTTTATTGACCGGGCACTTGTGTGAAATAACACCATCTGCTTTATAAATCAATTTGAATTAAATTTATTTTTCTTTAATAGTTGTTACTCTAATATCTAATATCTTCATATTATATATATGATAAATTCTTCATATTATGGATATTATAAATTAAAGAAGTTGGATATATAACCGATTGACACAAGGATGAAAGACATTAACAGATGAATTTATTAATGAGGTGAATTTTTTATTCAGACTTTTCATCTTAGATGAAAATTTTTTATGCTCTTGTTCTAAACATAAAAATGAAGTGTACCTCACACCAGATGACATAATTGTTGATATATATATCACAGAGGGTTCATGCCCAAATATTGGTATTAGACTTCACATGGTGAGTATGAGCCACATTTCAATTCTCGATGCAGCCCATCTTTAAGTTCTAATATAGCTGATGAAGAAAATATCTTACCTCTTAAAGACTTGGCAACTGGCGGCATAATTTGAACAATATACAGATGAATCGCCAAATAAGGAGGCACATATTTTTTTTATGATATGTTATATGATGCACAACAACTAATATGGAAGGGGTGCATTACTCACTTAGAGTTATTTATTATTATGAAGATGTTAAACATCAAGATAGAATATAATATCTCTTGTGAATATTTTAATCAATTCGTTATACTGCTTAAGGAAACCAACCCGACATATAACATAATTCTTATGAGTATATATGATTCAAGAGAGCTAGGTCGGAGCAGGTGAGGGATCTTATGGGGGATAAACATATTATTTTAATTATCACACTTGGTCACAAGTAGTAGGTGAAATGCAGAAAGACTAGGTTTATGGTTTAGGCTCGCAAGCGTACGCATACGGGGGGAAAACATCTAGTGGCTCTAGCTTCTCAATAAGAAGCTAAGAGTTGTTGTATGAACAACAGGTAGTAACCCTTATAGCCAAGCTAGATCAAGTTAGAAAATCACAAGATGACATGTAGATGCAAATGCAGCAAAATCAGTTGTTGGATGAGTTACAAAAACTGAGGGAGCATTTCAGTGGAAAGCATGCAATATTAACAGAGGAGACAGATCGATTCTGATTAATTTAATTACTGGATATTTCATTTATATGTTAGGACATTTTATTTATGAACATTTCAGTTGTTGGATTATTACTGGACTTTATGTTTAAATTTAAAACTATTTTATGAATGTTCAATAAAATGTTATGAATAAATCTGTTATTACATGTATGCAGCATATCTTTATATTCAATGTTTGAATATGAATATGTTATGTGTATATTTTTTATTTAGGTTTGTTGTGTTGTAGAAAACATGTCAAGGAGTGCTTTTTTTTTTTAATTTTTGGTACATATTTATGACAAATTTTCTGCTGAAAAATGGATATATGATGAAAATGTATCGTCTTTTCATCAGAAAAAATCATCGAAATAAGTGCTTCACAAACGACGAATATTATTGAACAATTCCACCAGAATTTCATCGATAATTCCATCGAAAATGTTTCTTGCGAAAAAATTCCGCCGGAATAAAGTTTCTAACATTCATTTTACCGTCGACTAAATTTCCGCTGGAAATGAATATTTTTTTGACTGAATTACTCATTTTTCGGCGAATCTGGGCCGTCGGTAATGTGTGTTTTTCTTGTAGTGTATTAAAAAAATTAAAAGTATGTAAAATAATATAAGAAAGATTGGTTGAACTGGTAGTATCCAAGAGATTCTAATAAGGTTGTTGTGGAGGAGAAATTTTAGCATGATGATGGCGGGGCATTGTATGGGTGTCATCAAATTGGTTGGCTCTAGCCTACTATTAATGTTGTGGTAGGAGAACTCAATCATGGTATGGTATTGCTCTTAAATGTATAGCCTCCTCTAAGAGTTGAAGAATTTAAGCTTGATTCTTTTCTATCTCTTGAACATAAGATATTCTAAACTTAGGCCTGAAACTCTCATAGGTTGAATTTTGTTATTCTTAATTGAGGATTTGGTTTCCATCCATTGAATAAGTATTTACATTATGTTAAGAATATTTCTTGCAAGGGACGCCAAATTGTTGTTTGCTAGAATATTCATAATCCTAGAGAGGGAGGGAGATTTTAATGTCTAAGCTTTATATAAAGATACAAAATGCACAAAGATAAAAAAGAAAATTGCAAGAGATATAATTTTTATGTGGAAAATTGAGAATGATAAAAAATTATGGGGCATAGCCTAATTAAAATGATTTCACCAGTATAATTCTTCAATTACAAATGATGATATTCCTTAAAATTATGAAAGATGTTGATACAATATAGTAAACATAAATTAGAAATGATGGACTTTATGGTGAAAGTTGAAGGATATCATTTGTGGTTTGCTCAATCGTTCTTCTTTGAAGAGAGGAGACTAGAAATTATTAAATCCATTATAAATTTGGGTTTTAATGTTAGGAGTCAAAGCTAGTGTCAACGTAGAGCATCGATTTTATTGGTGATTTCATGCTTCAACATTGTGTGCAATGGCAAGGGACAAAGTCGGTGGTTGTTTGCCTTAGTGTTGATGACATGCATCAACTTTATAGGTGATAGTATGCATTGACAACATATATAGGCCTTATAGGTAATCATGTAGCATGCATAATTCTTAAGTGATCGTGAGTGTCAAACTTTATTAGCAGTGATGAGCTATAAATTGGTGAGCATCGACATTAGTGTCAGTAGCATGCATACACATTATTGCGGTATAGCTGATGATGTGTGTCGATATCGTTTGCGATGAAGCCGGAAGGAGATATTAGTCAATAAAGATGTGTGTTGATGTTGTTAGCCATGAAGTCGGTGAGAGATAGTTGGATCGGACGATGATAGTTAGATGATGATAAACAGACAACGAGGGTCGAGCAATGATAGTCAGTCGATATTGATCACTATCGATGTTTGTCAACGTTAGTTTTCAGGTAAAGTTATTGAGTTCTTCAAACTTCTAAGCTCCCTCTAGATTTGAGTTCTCCATTATGTAGATAATAGATGTCTATTTTTAGTCTTCTTGAGCGAAACTTTGATAATTTCAACCTAAATCACTAAACACTACATAAGACGACCTATGCTAATTTTTTTTAGCATAGTCCATTCTTTTAGCATTTAAGAGCCTTAATGACTTCATAATTGAATGAGTTTGGGTCGATGGCTTCTTTGTGTCGAGCCTTGGATTTTCACTATAATCACACAAGAATTAGAAAACATTCAATTAATATCATGAAATTTTTAATCACAGTTCAATTGCTTAATATGGGCTCCTTGGATTTGAATTGGATTACTTTTGACACCATTAGACTCATCTTATTGAGATATTCAATTCAAATATAAGTTTGCCAAAATTGAAGGTTAAATGATCCTGATTTTAATTTTGGAAGCTTTTAATTCAAATACTGCATCGAGATTCATGTATGATCAAATGATTTTTCTAGTAATTTATGTGGTGATATTATTGTAAATAGAGGTCATTTGTGTTAATTTTGTAACCCCATATGATTTAGTGTTATACACATAATTGTTAATACAAATTATAAACTGTTAGGATTTTTTTTTATGATGTTTCTTTTCATTAATATGAAGGCAAACAATAAGAAATAAAAAAGATGAATCAGATGCTGCAATTTTGAGCACATTTATTTACTCTTCTATCTTGAAACATACAAATTTGAACTAATTTTCTTCTTTTAACATTTCTTAAGATAAAAGAAAACAAAATGGTAGAATCACTGATAAATTAAGACCATATTTACTTGGCTTTATCATTCCTTTTATTTATTAATAATTCTGTAATTATAATGCATGAAAATCAATGAAGGATACATCATTGATTTAGCATTGTATATATTTTTATTGTATTTATAGAAGGACAATGAAGGGGATCATTGTGAAACCCCCTATCAAATATTTGAAGATAAATTTGGATTATGATGAATTTCATAATCATTAGATTTAGATTTCATTTGGGACAAATTTCTTACTGCTTCTTAAAGCAATTTTCTAATTAAAAAATTTTAGTTTTTATACTAAAAAATTATTTTAAGAAGCAATAATAAATCCGTTTCAAATGAAAACCAACTCAAATAATAATTTAAATTTTTGCTTTTTAAATTTCTTGTACTAAAAAAAGTACTTTAAAAATAATAAAAAAGAAATTCCAAACAAATCCTTAGTTTTATCTCAAAATAAACTCAAGAGCTATAAAACTCATTGCGATTAAATTGAACCATAAATACCTTCATGCTTTGTCCACCAAGCAGAACATTGCCGACAACGGCACCGAAGCAAACTAAGAACTGAATTGGTCCAATGTAATAGCGCCCCCAAGTAGAACCTACGATCAACACATAAATAATCATAATCTAACTCTATCTTCACCTTCAAAATTATCACACAGTTTGACTATTAACTATATCATTTTATTTTTGGGCTAAAAAAATAAATCTATGTTATTTTCTTACATTTATAAAGGTATTTTAGTTTTTATATTTTTTTCTCATGTAAATATTGGATTAATTAGGTTATGTATAATCTTAGTTTTGATTTATATTATAATTCTCACCAGAATATTATTGATGGTGTTATATATTAATATATTATGTTTCTTGTTATTGATTAGTCATCGTATTTTGGTGTTCATAAGCTCTAAAAAAAATAAGATTAAAAAGCTCTAAATTTCATAAAAGTATGAAAGTAACACAAATGATTGGAACATTTCGATTCATCACTTAAGCTCTATTTATATGCTTAAATTGAGATTCAATATTGCTTAAAAAATTTTAGGGATTTTTACATGTTTAACACTTAAAACTATCATATTTACCTATTAAACACCTAAAGTTATCTATTTACTAATATACCACCTCAAAACGTTTAACCTCATCAAAAAAACCACTCCTTCGCTCCCGTCACAGCAGACTCCGCCGGACCTCGTTCGCCTCTTCACCGTGCCTACCAAACTGTCAACTGAAACACAGGAGGTCTACTGCTAATGATAGGACATGGAATAAGATAATCGAGCTCTTCCTCATTAGAGAAGATAGAAGATAGATCAACACTACCAGGAGACAAATCTTTAAAGGGCCAGATGGGGCTACATGATTTTTCTTAGAATTAAAATGCTTGATCATCATATCACCTTATGAACCACAACAGGACCAAAGTCAAATACAGAAATCAGCGGCTCTGTATTGCACTATCTCTGACGACTTGGAGAACAAGTCATCTATCCGGCGCGTACCAGGAGGAAGCGGCTTCTCCGAATTGTTCTTTTTACTAGTCGGAATAGGCGGTGGCTTTGATGTCTCGGGAAGGGAGTCAAGGAGGAAGTCAGCAGTTGGCGAGTGGCCGGTGATGGCAGTTCGCAGATCCTCAAGCTTGACAGTCTTCCGCCGCTTGCGGGCAGCAGCATTCCCAGCTTTTTCCGCCATGAATTCTATAAAGAGCTCGGTGAAGAGGCGAACGAGGTCGGAGATGGCCGAGAGGGCCGAGCTGTGACGGGAGCGAACGGAGTGGTTTTTTTGATTAGGTTAAAGGGTTTGAGGTGGTATATTAGTAAATAGGTAACTTTAAGTGTTTAATAGGTAAATATGATAGTTTTAAATGTTATACATGTAAAAACCCCTTAAACATTATATCAATTACTTCTTACATAATAGAAAATTCTATATCAACTTTGTAATGCGCCACAGCTGTCAAATAATGCGGTAGAAGGTGGGCCACATAAATGTGGGGCTCTGAATAATTTTTTTTTTTTAATTTGAAAAAATTGTTAGATGCATAATATCTAAAATATAACTATTCATCAAACTAACTGATATGCTAATTTTTTTTTTACTATTAAATTCATATATTTGAATGTTTATACTTCAATTGAATTTTTTTTTTTTTAAATTGTTTTTTATACAAAATTTCTAACTTTTTTATTTAATTTTTTAAAAAAGTAGAAAAAAAGCTATTCCAAATTAAGACTTAGAATTTTGGTAGGACTTTCTTACTTATTTTTTAAAATAATTTTTAAGTAAAAAATTAAAAAATTTTGTATTAAACAAACTTCTTTAATAAGCAATAAAAAATCCCAACGAATTCTTAATGATAAAACTGTCGCGACTTCTACAAAATAAAAATAAAAAATACATGGACTTCGATATGAACTTTAATATTTTGATGACACTATGAAAAATGAAAGTAAGAGGTTATAAATTTTGTAAATTATTAAAATTTAGGTCTTATGGGAAAAAATAGAAATAAAAAAATATTAAAATAAATTGTATAGAATGAGCTTAAAAATTGTTGGAATTTTTTTTTTTAAATTAATGTAATATTGTTTTTTAATATGCCCACCAATCTAAAAAAAATGTCAAAAAATTTTCAGCTCATTCCAATAAGATATGTTGATATAATTTTTATTCAATTTTATATATGCAATTACCAAAAAATATATGAATGGTAATATAACACAAATATATTCGGTATTATAATTCCATATTTATGAAAAAATACTCGTTAATTTATTTTTATTCTAAAACAAAATCTAATCCATGAGAATAAAAAGGGTACATACGAACCTAGAATCTGGTGAGCCATATCTCTGAACCGGAGCTGCCGGCGGCCAAGCTGAGCTTGGTTCTCTAATACCAAAGAGATAAGATTATAAGAGTAGAAAGTAACAGCAGCCGCCGTGAAAAGGAAAATAACTCCGGCGACCCACCCCAACGCCGACAGAGCCAGCGGCAAGCTTAGTAACGCCGGTGCCACAATTGACGTCGTCAGATGGTATCCACAGTGAAGCCATGATCCTGCAGAGAGAAAGATGAATAAAGGAAAGTTTTTTCGTCAAGTGACATTTTTTTTTTAAATTTATCACCTTTGGATTGCAGTACAAAGAGCGCTCCGGCGTCGAGCTGTGGAGCTTGAGAAGGGATTTGGCCATTTTTGTTCTGTTCTTCTTCTTCCTTTTTCTCTCCCATTCTCTCTGCTCAATTTGGGGATACTTTCGCACTGGTTATGGGAAAAAGCTTTTGAAAAAGGAGAGAGAGAGAGTTTGGGCAAATATGAATGCGGATTAAGGCGTTATTTGTAAGGAATGTATTGATTTTGGGGAGTGAAGTTGTCAACGAGGGCTACTTTGACTTTGCTACTTTGAAATAAGATTTATAAATTTTTATATTAATTAATTAAAAAGTGTTTTATTCTTCAAAAGTTTTTAGAAGAAGACTAATCATTAATTAATTTAGTAAACGGAGTTCCCATAACTTAAAATTTGTAAAAGGAGCAAAATTGGGAAATAAATTTTCGTAAATTTTTTTCTTTATTTTAATAATTTAACATTTTATATTATTATATTTGATTTTATCTAGATGAAAAGATTCTACTAAATTTAAGTGAATTACAAAAATTGACCCGTCTCTTCAGTTAGGAGCAGTCAAATCATAATAGCTTGGAGAGTTAGGTGAAGGTCCGGTGGCTGTCGGGCGGATGATCAATAGTGTTCGGACAAAAGTTTAGCTGACGAGAAATGATTTGATAAAGGTTGGGTGAAAGTCCGACGATGCTCGGCTGCTAGGTGGAAGTTTGGAGGCGGTCGGCGGTGATCCGACATAGGTCTGGCTGAAGTCCAAAGGTGAACGACGGCCGGGTGGAAATTCAGCGACAGTCGGCGACCGGGCGGTGGACCGACGATGGCCGGGCTGAAGTCCGGCTGAGGTTGGCGGCTGGGTAGTGGTCCAACGGTGGTCAGGCTAAAGTTCGGTGGTGGTCGGTGGCCGGGCGGCGGTGCGACGGTGGTTAGGCCGGAGTATGACGGCGGTCGGCAACCGAGCGGTGGAGTGCTCCATCGGATGGCCCGTATTGATTTCCCAATCATAAAGCGTTTATCGGACATTTGAGTTTCTTAATGATATCAAAATTTGATGATCTTGGGCTCGTTGGATTTGTTTGTCGAGCCGCTCAATTCGACTATAAGCATGTCAAGTTTGATAAACGTTTGGTAATCCAAAATGTAGTTCGAACTTTCCAAAAGTGCTTTGAGTCTTTGATTTGGACCCATTTGAGCTTGGATTGTGTCGAATTTGGTGTCCTTGGGTTTGTATTTTTGAGACAAACAATTTCACTATAAGTTTGCTAAAATCAAAGTATGAATGATTCCAAATTTAATTTCAGAAGTTTCCAATTTGATTTTGCCTCGAGGTTCGTGTTGGATCTAGACTATATTTTTGTTGACGTATCAATATATATCATGATTAATTTTTAATCTCCAAAATTTAAAGAATACACACACACACACACAATTGTTTCAAGTTGTAAAATTAATAATGTTTAATATAATTTTTAATTAAGTTATGTTTACCTTTTCTCAAGTTGTAAAATAAAATTACATATATACCAATTTACACCTCATAATATTTATACTTGTTGCGTCCAGGAGTATTCGCGGCGGTAGAGAAATATAAAGTTTATCGTCTTAGCGTTGTACGAAAATCCGGCATGCAATCAGAGAAGAGAGGGGGTCTAGCATTTATGAGACACCAAGATTTTTACGTGGAAAACCCCTGAAAAAAGGGTGGAAAAACAATGGGGCCTAGCCCAGTTTGAACGAATCCACTATTATTTGCAGTCGATTACAAATGAAGCCCTTCCTTGGGAGAAGGCCTTAGCTTGATGTACATCTTATAGAGTACATTACATGATGTAAATACAAAGAGCTACTATTGACATATTTGCTTTGTTGGAAGGACTGTAGTCGGCGGGCGACGGAAGTCAGGAGGACCGTAGTCAGCTGGCAACGGAGGTTGGAAGGACTGTAGTCAGCGGGCGACGTAAGCCAGGAGGACCGTAGTCGGCGGGCGACGGAGGTCATAAAGACTGTAGTCGGCGGGCAACATAAGTCAAGAGGACCGTAGTCGGCGGGCGATGGAGGTCAGAAAGACTGTAGTCGGCGGGCCACAAAGATCTGAAGGACAACGTCAAGTAGAAGTCCAACAATGGAAAGAAATCCATCTTCGCGTAGACGTCCAGCGAAGTCCGACAACTGGTAGAAGTCCGGTGTCGGGTAGAAAACTTGGCGAAGAGTGAAGGTTCGACGTCGGGTAGAAGTCCGACGTCTATTGGTGGCAAAGGAGAACTCCGGCTTCACTTGGGCGGAGTTTCAGCGTCAGAAGGGAACTCTGTTGAAAATTGGGAAGAATTTCAGCATCACGTGGAAGTTGTGCAGAATTCCTGCGTTTCCTGAAAATCCGGCAAAGTTCCGGCGTCTTCAGGCGGCAAGAAGAGCTCC